TATATATATATATATATATATATATATATATATATATATATATATATATATATATATACATATTTAAAAAGAGGGCATGTCTAGGGGATGTCCGCTACATCGTTGGATGTACCCAAAAAAATTAAATAAAAGTTTTTCAACTTGATTATATTGTTGAAAAAATCTTACTATATATAACTATTAAAACCAAACTTCAGCTAAAACTAAACAAATTATACACGGTTATTTACCTTAAACAGTTGGAAAAAAATAAAAAATTGGAAAATGGTTCAAATTCCAAAATATTAAAAACCGGAAAATAGTATATCGGTTTCAAAATTTTGCGATTGTTAAAAAATAATAGTTACAATATTTTGATGGAGGTTAAACTAACTTTTGAGTTAAATAACTTGATTAGAAACTTGAATTGACATACTTTATTTTATTTTGTTATATAGAACTCTTTTTAAATTTTTTCTTTCATTGGTTTAAAAAAATCAAAATGATTATTTCAGTTAGAACAAACTTTGGACTTCCTTTTTAACATACACCCTGAGTAGAATTTTTATTAAGTTTTATTGTTTAGCTATCACCAGGAGGTAAAATTAGTTAGTAACAACTAGTATATATCAAAATATATCAATAGACATCCCCAGTTTTATTACACTAGACTGTGTATAATTTTAATAATTTGCATTTTAAGTAATAAATAAGAAGAGAAAAGGTTTTAAATGTGGAAAATAAATTTCGGACTTCCCCTTTGCCTTACACCCTGCTTAGTTTGTGTTTAACTAAATTAATTAATTTTATTAAACATATAATATGGCCGATAATTAGTTCAAAATGTCGCTTAATTCACAAGTTTATATAGCATATTAAAGAAAAAATTAGTATGTTAAAGAAAAGCATCATTTCCTTTAAAGTTGGGCGACCGAATATTACTTTAATTGTGTAGAACTTTTGATATCACGATATCCTTTGAATACAAGAAAAGGAAACAGAGAGTTATTACAAGTAGAAGCTGTTTATAGTTGCATCGATAGTAACTAGTATTTGTTTCTTTTGTTTTCTTTGTAAATCAAGAAGAAAATTTTAGACTTATTAAGTCTAATTTTAATTAGCCATATTGTTTATCCTTTATGAGAATCATGGTAATCGTAATAGGAACTATAATGAACCACATTAAAGAAAAAACTTGTTTACTTAGTATTTTCATAAAAGCTATCACTGGTTTTTCTTTGGGTGTTATGAAATGTGAAATTGTGGCATGGATACTTTAGGAAAGTTTTTTATACCTGTGGTTTTCTGTCTCAAAGAATGTCATTAATGGTGCAGCCTCTGCTACTGCTTCTTCTTCTGAAGTTAATAACAAATTTTGATTTTATTGTTGCACTGTGTATAACAAGACATGTTTTTAATATAAATTTTTTAATTACACAATTTTGCAAGCAAGTAATAATGATAGTTTCTATAGTTTAAATCTTATTCAAGCATTAAAAGATTTTGTCTCTATAGTTAGAAATATTAGTAATCAACACCTCCAAATTTGCGTAAACAAGCCTAAAAGTTGCATTTCAAATTATTTTAACTTGGTTATCGCTGTTTCTTTGCTAGACTATCTGAGTTTTATCTAGATTAATGAGTTTAACACAATGACTGATTGATACAATTTGAATTGTTATAAAGCACCTGTGTTTTAATTTCTGCTTTCTAATATTTTGTTTCTTCTAAAAACAATTGCAGAAATTCAATGTTTTGTTATACTAGTTGAGAAGACCTAATCATATTTTTTAGTGTCTTGTTTAACCAAAGGCTTTATTAGGTTTATTTATTATTTCCAAACCAAAGGCTTTATTACTCAAATTTTATCTGTGGGAAGTTTAGTTGAATTTCAATTAACTGCCTGAATTTCAAAAATGAACTTTAATCTAATAATACTGAAACATTACAAGCAACAAACCTTTTCAAGTTTGTTATAAATACTTATGAGTTGTGTTTTAAATAAAATTCAAACACGATAAAAGTATAACTTTTATCGTGTTTGAATTTTTGAATAACAGCTGTTTTCATAGCCAGACATCTTTGTAAAAACATTTAGCATTGTACAGTTATTGCAATAACTTTTTTGACTCTAAGTATTTATAAAGTTTATTTTAATTAAAAGTTATTTATAAAGTTATATAAAAAAATTTACACAGCAAAATCTTGTATTAATCTTGTAAATTATTTCCACAAATCTTTTAAAAAATTTTAACATGTATATTATACATTACAACAACTAAGTATTTTCAAAAAATAATTTTTTTAGTGTGTTAAAATCATATTTTGAGCTTTAGTTACCATTTTATCAATGATACAAGTCATTTAAAGAATTAAAACATTTTTATAAAATACACTCAATCTGGTCAAAATCCGGTCCCCTTCCCCCTCCCTACAAAAAAAGGAGGCAGAGTGGAGCATAAATTTTTTTTTCGGACATACCCAAAAAAAAAAAAAAAAATATATATATATATATATATATATATAAATATGTATATATATAACCAAAAATCATAGAGTTGAGCTCTAGTCATGCTTTAAAACATAATTTTAATCAATAACATCAACATGCAATGTTCTATAGAAGATTTGAACCCTTGATTACAAACTCTTGTTTTACATAATTCAACACAGCTCTATTATATGCAACAAAATATAAATACTTAGGAAATTTGATATCAAATAATATGGCAAGGTCATTTTAAAACAACTTAATTTTATATTTGCTGAAGCTAACCTTATTCTTTAAAAGTTTAGCTTAATTAGAGAATTATCTTATTTGGTAATTTGGCTAATAAAAGAAACATCATCACATGTTTATCAGTAACTGCAATTTTTTCAAAAAAAATCTCTTTATGTTCTATATAATCCATATAAGAATGAATTTCATCTGAATTTAAAGTATCCATAGTGGACTAGTGTTTGCAAGCCATTAGTGAACCATGGCGCTTATTTACTTCTTGTGTTAATTGTGTTTATCCTTATATCTAGTCAAAAAAGACTTTTATGGTAAAAAAAAGTCTCTTTCGACTACAATTATTATTACCTCAACTCTTAAGCTGTATTTTATTGTTGTCGAAATGTCAAAGCAATTAAATTAATGCGGAAGTACATTAAATTTTATTGTTTTTTAAAAAAATGGCAATTATAATGGCTAGAAAGTTTTTTTTAATTAATGGTGTTTTTGTTGTTTTATTAAAATATATTTTTAAAACATGCACGGAGCGTTGCTACATCGACTATCTTATAGCCTGCTGCTACAAGGGAGTGTTGCTATATCGACTATCTTATAGCCTGACTCACAACAGAGTTTTGCTATATCCACTTTCTTATAGCCTGACTTGCAGCGGAGTGCTGCTATATTGACTGATAAATAGCCTGACTTGCAAGGGAGTGCTGCTACATCAACTGAGGGTTTGGTTTGGCCAGGCATCAAGATCAGGCTTTGGGTTAGGGTTACGGCAAGGTTTAAATTTAGTTATATTATTGTAGTTAATCGTTTTTGTAAAAAGATGAAGTTAAAAATGAAATATAATATAAAATAAATAAATAAAAATAACAAAAATTATTATAAAAAATATATTTTTATAATAAAATATTAAATATGTATAAATAAAAATAGAAATAAAATAAAAATTAAAAAAAAAATATATAAATATGATAAAAATAGTATAAAAAAAGTAAAAAAAAACAACAGAACGGGAACAAAAATAACATGTACCCAAAAGTTGCCAACTATATGCTATATATATATATATATATATATATATATATATATATATATATATATATATATATATATATATATATATATATATATATATATATATATATATATATATATATATATATATATATATATATATATATATAAAAGACATGTTACCAAAGGCATGGGCTGTAACAAATGTGTCTCCTTTGTTCAAAAGAGGTTCTAAAAGGAATCCAAACAATTACAGACCCATTTCCATTACTTCTGTGCCATGCAAAATAATTGAGAAAATAGTTAAAAATAAGATAATACAGTATACACTGTCTCAAAATCTTATATCAAATTGTCAGCATGGTTTAAATAAATAAAAAATCTTGTGTTACTAATTTACTTGAGACTATGGATTTTTTGACCTACAACGTAAGCTTCCTGTTGTCATTGTCTTTCTAGATTTGTCTAAGGCCTTTGACAATGTTGCTCACACTAGGCTGCTACAAAAGCTGAAATCCTATGGAATTGAAGGTAAAATTTTAAACTGGATTAAAGCGTTTCTTTTAAATTGTACTCAACATGTCCAACTTGGAAATGTAACATTGGAATGGGAAAAAGTTACTATTGGCGTTCCTCAAGGCTCAGTTCTTGGTCCAATACTTTTTACTATCTTCATTAATGATTTACAAGAAAAATAAGTAACAAAAATATATGCAAAATGTATGCTTATGACACAAAAATTCTTAGTGTGGTCTCAACAGAATTCAACTTGAATCAACCTGATCAGAAAGAGACCTTGGTTGGAAAATGCTATATACAACTTATATATGTCCACTTTTTGAATTTTCCATTACTGCCTGGTGTCTATATTTAGAAAAGGACATTTCTGTAATTGAAAGCATTCAATGGTGTATTTTAAAAGTACCGCAAGAAATGAAGCCTTTTGATTATAAATCAAGATGTATCTAGCTTGATCTCATTTCTCTTTGTGAACAAAGAAAACGATTAGGCCACATTAAAAAATTTAAATTAGAAAATAAAATCAAGTTAGTTAACTGGTTTATTAATCCAATTAACATTTCCCCAGCTATGAGTTTTTCATCTGGTACCATCGTGAAATCAACAAAAACTATCTAAAACAGTTAATTACAAATAAAATTAAAAGAATTACAAATAAAACTAAAAGAAAAAAGAGTATCCTTCTCAATTGTAGTTTTCTGTCCCTCCCCTTTTTACCCCTAGTGCCTTGGAAAGATGAATTTAGTAAAAAAAGATATGAAAATAATATTAACAACGTTTTTTATTTTGTTTTCACAATACTTGATTATTTTTTACATTTAACATTTGTTTTTAACATTTTATTTGTCATTATCCAACCACAATTTACTCTGGCTAAAAATTGCTTAGAATTATGCATAGAATAAGATTTAAAAAAAATTACTAGTTTCTTTCAACAAATGATTATTGCTAGAGCATCTTACTTTTAAGGATTTGTTTTGTTTTGGGTTTTTACTGCCAGAAAAAGTTTGCTCATATAAAAATAGAATTACTTATACTATAACTTTCTTGATGCAGTTCTTTTAGATAGAATCTCATTAACTTATTCTACTAACAAAATTTAGCTTAAATATTTTATTTTTATAGTCTCTAAAAGCAATTCAATAAACTTTGATATCGCTTGTTGAAGGACTTTAAATTAATGAAACCAGATAAATAAATTATAATCATGTTAATAATATAATAAGTAATAGAATGCAGTTAAACATTTTTTTTTAGTAACCAGTTTAGCATTGTGCAACTCAATTGAATTAAAGAAGTGTGAATCTATTAATATATGTGATTATACATGTGTGGCAGATTACTATAAGATTGTAAATAATCCAGAAGAAATAACTTATTTAGAAGATCTGGTAAAAGCATGGTGTAAACAAATTGAACAGGTATTTTTTCCAATTTTAACAAATGATGAAGTTAACAAAGCTCAATAAGTTTTTTGTTATTTGACAGAAGTAATTCTATTTGTTACTAAGATTTTAGCAGAAAGTGAACAGATGCGAAAGGAGGCGGACGACACTGGCCCTATAGCAGAGTTAGAGCATTGGAGGCAACGAAGAGCCAAGTTTAACACACTACTTGATCAAATAAGACATCCACAATGTAAAACAGTTATTATTATATTGGTTCTTGCTAAGAGTAAAGTTATTAAGGTTTCTATTATTTATATTCTACTATTTTATTTTGTTTTTTAAATAGAGATTGAAAAATATGTTTTCTCAAATTTAATAATGATTTGTTTAACAATTTATACCAGGGTCAGACTGGCACTGTTTGGTCTGGGGTGGAGGGATAAGACATAGATGGGGTTCTTATGGTAGCAAAAAATTTAGCAAAAATAATTTAAACACTTAATCACATAGTTGATTTGTTATAAGGATATAGAAAAATTCTAACGCAAATTTCCATATATTTGACATCCACTCCGCCCATCAATTTATTCGACTTGTTTAAAAAAATAAATCCATATGCAAGGTTTTAAAAACATTGCAAAAATTGCAAAATTGCAGCGTTGCACCATTATATTTTCTGCACATTATTGCCATGCAAAAATGAATTTATGATTATGGTAACCAAATACGATTTGTATTTTATTGTTTAAAGAACATAGCCATTAACACAAAGTTAAAAATCAAAGATTTTAATTTTAGTTTTATTATACAAACTTATATATTTTATTTTAATAAAAATTTTTTTAAATTATAAATTTTTGCAAAAAAAAATTTTCTTTATAAAGAAACTTTTTAGATCAACCATTTGACAGTATTTAAAGCTGAACTCCAATTGCACTTCACTATATATTTTTTATAAATATAAAAAACTAAATTATAATGCTTAGTAAGATGATGTTGTTTGATGTTAATGATGATGTTTTAAGTAATAAAATTTCCAGCTCCTTTATATATTTCTGAGCCTCTCTGGTTGGGAAGCACTTGCTTCTTATAAGCCAGTGCTTATTATTGTAATTATTATTATGCTCTGAATGTCTCAATAAAAGAATTGTTGTTAGGAGGGGAGCCCAAAAATAATTTTGCACCAGCACATTTTTATCCTCTCCAGGGCCCTGGAGTTATAAAATATATATGCATTACTCGACAGAAAAACTAAATTTAATGTTTTTTTGTAATAAATTAAATTTTTAGTCACTCAAGTTTTGTGATTTTTAAATTAAATTTAACGAAATAAGTTTAAATTTATTAATATTTAATAATAAATTTATCTTAAATATAATAAAATAAATTTAAATTAAATACTTTAAAAACGTAAAGTATTAAACAATTTATTTAACTATCTGTTTTTTTTTTTTATCTAAAAAATTATTTCACAATTGCAGAAAATGTTTTTTACAAAAATTAATTACTGCATAATGTTTTTTTACATAAAATATTTTAAAAAGCTGTTAAAATAATCTGATTGAAAAATATTTTGGCATGCAAATTTATTAAATAAAATATAGAGAGAATTTAAAATAAAATAAAGAAAGAAAAAAAGATAAACAAAGAAACATAAAAACATAAAAAAGAAAAATAAAGCACTAATATAAATGAATATATTAATAATAGCAATAATAATAAAAAAGAAAAATAATAATATGAATAAAATAATATTACAAATTTCACTGTAAGTTATAACTAATGAGAATAAAATAGTAAAAGTAATTGTAATATAATTTATAACTATGACGGTAATTATAAAAATTAAAAAAAAAAACTTTTTTTTTAATTTTTATAATTACCGTCATAGTTATAATTATAACAATAATAATAATAGTTAAAAATATTAGTATAAAATAGGAAATAGTATTAGTTTTATTAATGCAGTAATATATCAAAACAATAATAATAAAAGATAAAATTAATGTTCATTAGATATATACTCAAATAAAGTTTGCCTTATTTGACAATGTTGAAAAAGGAAGGGTGCAAATTATATATTTAATTATAAAATTATAAAATATTTCTTGTGTTATCACTTGTTTTAATAAAAAAATGAGTTTGGTAGATTATTTTGGAGAAAATCAAATGCAAAAAGAAAAATTTAAAATTTTTCAAAACCTTTTTTGGATATTGGATTGTAAAGGAGAAAATATTCAATTCTTAAACTCTTATCCTAATCCTTAAAATCCTTTAAAAAAAAAAATCTTAATTCTTGTAAACTTTTTATATGATTTAATAATTTTTGACCCCAAACAATGCAGCAATAGCTGGGAGGAGAACAAGGAATAGTTTATTTTTGGAATAGTAGGAAGGAATAGTATATGTTTGGGAACATAGCATCATATTAATGAAAACACACTAATGGCTTGTGAGATTTTTATATTTGAGTTAGATGATAGTATCATGATAGGTTTTTGTCAAGATATTTTTTTTATTTAGATGGGAAAAACCTTTTACTGTTACCTCTAATTTACAGAAAACTCTAATTTTTACATTATTGTTATCAATCTTTTTTCAGAGGGTGAAAAATAACAAATTAAGTTTCATTGATATTTAGATATGGTTACTATTTAACCAATGATGCAAATGATGGAGATTTGAATTAAATTTTATACAAAGTTGCACAAGTGATTTATTAATGCATAGCAGCAGTGACGGATCCAGCATTTTTTGGTGTTTGTTAGCTAACTTCCGGTAATGGAGCAAACTCCAAACATTTGTATGTTCGTACTAATGTCAAATAATTATGCTTTGCAAAAAATTGTAATGATTTGAGGCTGGGAACAAAAATACCCTGAAATTTCATTCCCTTCCCCCTAACTCAAACATGAGAGCAACAAGTTAGTAAAATGTTTTTTGTACTATTCTCAACTAAACTTATATTCATCAATAAATTTTAAATTTCATAGTATTATCTTTCAGCGTTCAAAAATTATGACCATATAAAATTTTTAACCTCCTCAAATAGAGGGGGGTTTAAACTTTATACCTGTTGGTAAGCAATGGATTAATAAAAAATGTAGTAGCTAATAATGCATTTGTTATAAAATAAATAAAATTATAAAAGCTTTTGCTTTAAATGCAGAAAATAGGCTGAGGGTTAAAAGTAAAAGTAAAAAAGAGGAATGAGATGAAATGTGATACTATAATGGAGTATGCAATGGTGTAATGTTACAGTCATTTAGTGTTATGGGACAACCAATCTTCTCAAAGAGCAAGTGAAATTACATATTAATTCAATATGAAAGTAAAGTTATGTAGATATTAAGTATCAGTTGCTGGGGAACAGCATAGCAATCTGTCAATGCTTAGTTATAAGAGTTTATATTAATAAAATTATTCATACAATTTACGAAATTCTTCACTATGATTATTTAAAAAAAAATACTAAAAAATGTTTCTTTTGCTTATACACAGCATTTCAAATTCTTTGCAATCAAATTATCTAAGTTTGTAAGTGTTTTGTATCAAATTTACTATTTTAATAAACAAAATAAAAAGAAGCCTATTAAATTGAAATTAAATGCATAATTCAAAATGAGACTTGAAAGTTTTTACAATTCATCAATGATATGGAAGTGTTTTAAATTAGATAAAAAACATTTAACTAGTTTAAAAATGTTTAAAAATCCTTTTAAAACAAAACTTTTTCATAATTGCATTTTATTTTTTCCCTCACTGTAAAAACAATATTGAATTAATGATTGACTCAAATAACTTGTTGAGAGTGTAGATAAATTGCAAATAAAATGTTAAGATGGTAACAAATTATTGATAATCAAATCTAGGTGGTTATAAATTGAGATGAATCAGTAATAAATCAAGATGAATCAGATGAAAGAATAAATCAAGTAAGATATTAGCAATATTTTAATCATCTAAAGAGGGAGAGGGTATAAATCTAACTTTACACCCTTAAACGCTGGTAAGTTATGATTGTTTAGGAAATATGATTGAGATAATATTCTTCAAATATGATTTATATGTAATAGATAAATGTTGAATTGTTCACATAATAAAAAATGTATGAAAAAATTTATGATACTAAGTTAGGGTGCATTTAAATATCCAATTACATCATATATGCATATTCTGAAAATATTTATGTGATTTTCTGGTTTTAGATATGGAAAGAACTTAATAACAGAATTACTGATTCAGCTAACGAAGCTAAAGATAATGTTAAATATCTTGATACAATTGAGAGATCCTGCGAACCTTTGTATGAAAGTGATCCTGTAAGCATTTTCAATAATTTTAAATTTAAAAAAAAAAGGAAAATCTGTTT